ATATTCCTGAGTATTTTCCAAGCGAGCCCTTTTGGAAGGACTTCTCTACCACTGGGGAGGAACCACTGATTTCCCTTTTTAATAAATCCTTCTTTCTTAAATATTTCTTCCTCCTGTTTACTAAAGGATAATTTAAACGGATAAGTGTTCCTATTTAAGGATCTATTTTTATTTTCTGGCTGTTTAAAAACCAGTATTGCCACTTTTTTTGCTTCTTCATCTGCCAAATTATTACCTCTCATTTCAGTGGTTACTCCTCTCTGGTGTCCTCTCACATGGACCACTGCAATTGCCACGGGTCTTCCTAAGTCCTCTCAAGTTTGCCTTATTAACTCCCTGTGCACCAATCCTTTCTCTTGGGAGTTAATGAGACCTCTCTCTTCCCAAATTTTTCCAAATGTATGTACCAACCTAAAAGCATATTTTGAGTCTGTGTATATAGTTCCCTTTTCCCTTTTCATAGTTTTAATGCCTGTAGTACTGCATGTAATTCACATGCCTGTGCAGACCAGGCCTGACTTAACAGACTTGATTCAATCACTTTAAGGGTGTCTCCATTAACTAATGCATATCCTGACCTCCTTTCTCCATCTACTATTCTAGAAGACCCATCTACAAAAATGTTCTCTCCCCCTCTTCCAGCGCACTATCTTCCAAATCTCTAATTTTGGTTTGCTGTTCTATACACTGGATCCAATCGTGAGATATGTCTTTTTTCAGATTCCCCATACAAAAATTGCGCTGGATTATGTAAAGATGTTGTTTCTGTTTCCAAGCTGGGGGACTGAATCAAAATTCCTTCATTCTTTAATAACCGTGCATCTGTAATCCATTTTTCAGCTTTTTGTTGTAAAATTCCCCAGACATTATGTGGAGTTAATACCTTCAGCTTACTCCCAAAAGTAACTTTGCTGGCTTCTTCTACTAATAAGGCTACAGCCACAATTGCTTGTAAGCATGAGGGCCATCCTCGGCTTACGGGGTCTAACAATTTGGAAAGATATCCCACAGACTTTTTTTCCCTGCCCACTCCTGGGTCAATACTCCATAAGCAGTTCCCTCCTGGCTATCCACAAACAAATAAAAAGGTCTCCTAACGTCAGGGAGGCTGAGCACTGGAGCCTGGATTAAATCTTCCTTCAGCTTCTTAAAAGCCTGACAGTCCTCTTTGCTCCATTTTATTGCTCCTTCTCCCATGAACTGCTGATACAAAAATTGAACTTTTCTGCTAAAATCCATTGCCTACAGTATCCCAACAACCCCAACACTTGTCTAATGTGCCTCTTACTTTTGGGGAGTTCTAATGCTAAAATGCCTTTTACCCGTTCAGGATCTAACTTCTTACATCCTTTTGTAATCCAATGTCCTAAATATTTCACTTCCTCTTCCACAAATTGCAGTTTTGATCTGGTCAGTTTAAGTCCCTGTTAACTCAGGAAGTTTAACAATTTCATGCTTTCTGCTCTAACACTTGCTTCATTTTCGCCTGCAATTAATAAATTGCCCACATATTGTAATAAAACCATCCACGTCCCTAATTAATAATCCCACAGAATTTGTTCCAAAGCCTGACCAAACAAATGAGGTGACTTGCTAAATCCTTGAGGGAGTACAGTCCATCTTAATTGCTGTTTCCTATGGGTATCGGGATCTTCCCACTCAAAGGCAAAATAACCTCTGCACTCCTCCTTAAGAGGACATGCCCAAAATGCATCTTTTAAGCCTATAACCGAGTACCACTGATATTTGGGGTTTAGTTGACTTAACAGTGTATGTGGATTTGCAACCACAGGGAAAGGGGTCACAGTCCATTTATTTATTTCCCACAAATCATGCACCAATCTATAGTGGCCATCCGGCTTTAGAACTGGTAAAATCGAGGTATTGTAGGGCAACATGCAAGGTTCCAAGAGACCTTTTTGTAGCAGACTCTTGATTTCAGGTTTCAACCCTCTTCTCCTTTCTTGGGAAATGGGGTATTGTTTTATTCTTACAGGGATTTCAGGGTTCTTAATTACTACTTCAAAAGGTTCAATATTCAATTTCCCTACAGTTTCAGGAGTATACCATACTTACAATCCCGTCCCAGCAAATGATAATCTGCTTCAGGAACTAATGACAATGGTCCAGCTCCAAATTTACACTCTGATTCTAACAGTACATTCTCAATTTTGGGGAACAAAAAAGGTTCTCCACTGGCCCCCACGTCTTGGATGTTTTTTGATGAAGGTTTACATCCTTTAGGTACTTGTTGGACAGTGGACCACTCTGCCCCAGAGTCTACCAAAAATTCGAGTACCTCTTGCTGAGGTACTCACTTTCAACTTTATCAAGGGCTCTGATGATTTTCTATGGCTCCCCAAATAGATAGAGCCCCTGACCCCTCTAATCCTGTTCAAATAGCTTCTTCTCTTGAATTCCCTTTCTACAATCCTCCTTCAAATCCCCTTTCTTGTGACAGTAAAAACATTCAACTTCACTCCAATCTCTTTTCCCAACAGCTTTTCTAGACCCTTGGGGTCCCTTAGTAAACCCTCCCTTTTCTCGGTTTACTGACCCCCTCCCACACCGCAGCCACCAGCAACCTAGTCTGCCTTTTCTGGAACTCCTCCTCCCTCCTTACATACACTTTCTGAGCCTCTCTCAACAACTCATCCAGGGCTCTTTCTTGCCAATCCTCTATTTTTTCCATCCTCTTCCTTGTAATTGGCCAAGATGTAGCCACAAACTGGGTTTTATGGAGGGCTTGTCCCACAGGTGCAGTGGCCCAGGTCCTTGTGGACTGTGGGAAACGCACTAATGAAGGGCTCCGCTCTCGCTTGGTCTCCAGGAGACCTCTCAGACACTGGACTCTGGGATCACCAACCCCAACCAAACGGATTCCCAATTCTGTACTTGCCCCATCCGCAGTCTTGGCTTGGTCCTCATGCACAAAATTTAAGGGGTTCTGCAGATTCCATTTGCTTGCTTACCGAATTTCACTTGGGGTCCGGAATACCAGGTCTGGGGAATAGGAACCCCCCACACCAGGGCTATCCTAAGATAGGGTGTGTCCCCAAAGGGGGGACTTCTAAACCACAGATATGTGGATCTGAGTCAGGGCACCAAAATTGTTATAAATTGTGGTGACTGAATAAAAGGGGCAATTTAAATAATCATTTATGAATATCAATTTTATTGATTCAGGAAGCAGTAGGCAAGCAAAGACCAGCAGCTGGGGCGGCCCGGGGAGACACTGCTCCACCCAAAGTGCACGCTTTAGCTGAGGAGGTTTTCCTTTATATACACTTCCTGCATATGTGTCTTCCTGGATCGCGTCAGTGCCTGCGCTGCCTGTTGCTAGGGGGTCTTCTTCTGCCTCTCGGTGGTCGTCAGATGAAGGCTTGTAGTCTTCCTCAGTCTGTGAGCGGGCCTTGGTCCTATACCAGTTAGGCAACCCTCCTCCTAATAAGGAGATGTTGTAATTCTAGTTTGTGCAGCTGGATATGGTGGTTCTGCCTTTCTGCACCTTCAGCTTTTTGCTTATACAGTTGGATATTGTGGTTAGGCCTTTCTGCAGTTTTAGCTTAACATTGTATAAAACAGCTTCAGCAATCATATTGAATTTGATTAACAAACAATAGCAGTCTATTACAGGAATCAAAGCCATTTTCCTTCCCATGGCCTTTTATGTATATTCATATCTTATATTTATAGTACAATGGCCACCAAAATAGATGAATAGCATTCAAGGCCAGGTTGGACAGGCCTCTGAGAAACCCGGTCTAGTGAAAGGTGTCCCTGCCCATGGCAGAGGAGTGAAACTAAGAGAAAATTTAAGGCCCTTTCTGACCTAAAAGATTCTGTGCTTCTATAGATTTATGGTTCTCTGGTGCTACAAATCCAGTGCGTCCCATGACTGTATGTCAAGTTGTCTTTTTGAATAACTGACTGTATGCCAAACATCAAGCTTTGCTCATAAAAATATTGTGGGAAGCTTAGTGATAGCAACATTTAGAGGAGAAGCTCTTGAGATGGGTACAAAAAGAGTTTAATTTTCCAAGCAGCTTGCAGGCTTCCTTGTTCCATTAGAGCAGCTCGTTGTCTGGGGCTGGCTGGAGAAGGCAGAAAGAAGAGCAATCAAATATGTCCTACAAAAGGATGCAGACATGAGCCTGGCCAAATACAGCACTGTCAAAAGCTTGTAAGAATTCTCATCAGGGTCACTTGGGTGCCTGCTTTCCTCTTGACAGGGAGGAAAGCTTGTGTTGAGAAGCACACCTTGGTTGCAAGAGCGTTTGTACCTTGTGGGAATAGTGTCAGGTTAACGCCTCCTGTGCACCCTCAGATCCATGGGGCGTCAGTGTGGTCAAAACCCTGGCCTTGTCAAGGGCGTTTGCAAAACTTTTGCACTGTTTAGTGAAATCTCAGTTTACCTGCTGGCCACTTGTGTGCTTTGTGGCCATGGTAAGGAAAAACTGGTGACAGAGCAGGCTTCCCTGCCACGCTGTTGATTCACACGTTTGCGTGCATCTCGCTCTGCCCAGCTGATGTCAATGCCAGGTCCATTCAACAGAAGCTGGAAGAAAGATGGAATGACTTCTCTCTGTATGCGCTTCCAACTTCTCCCACCTTCATTTAACTTGAAATTCAAGTGGGAACCTTGTTCTTTTAAGGCAGTTTATTTTCCAGCCAACATCAAGGATTTCATGACTGTGAAAGGGAAGAAAGATGGGGTGTTTGTTTGCTTCCAGATGTGTCCTCCAAGCTTAGTGTGAGTGTCTATTCTTAGGTTTCCCAGCTGCAGGAGAAGGTGGGGGTCTGACAGGATTTCCATCTGCAGTGGCCCGTGGCTGGCAGAATGGTTCCATGCTGGTGCCTTGCCTGGTTGTTAAAGCTGTGGCCTAGAGCTCTGCTGCTTCACCTCTTCCCCCAAGTGTCTGTGCTCCTGTTGCCCTAAGCGGGGTGGTTCACAAGACTTCACACAATTCTCCTGTTGCCTCCTCATGCCCAGCGAGAAATCATTCTGTTCTCTCCGGAGTGTGAGATGCTGCAAATGAATGTCACACCCTGAAATGTAAATGTTTTCCATGCTATATCCACCTGTTTGAGATTGTTTACTTCTGCAGATGGAATCTTGTTATCTTTCCAACTAGAGCTGTCTTTTCAGGGCTTTTTCTTGCCTGCCTTTTCTTTCCTTCCCCTTTCCACAAAAGCTGCCATTCATGTCAGGCCCATTTGCTTGTGTAAAGGCAGGGTTCCTAGGGCACTTGTATTCTTAAAATGGGAGTAAACAGCCCAGAGCCTGGAGCAGTGGCCTGGTCTGTCATGCTCCTGGCCAGATCTGGAGTTAAGAGCTGAGCTGAAAGGCAGCATCACTGCTGGGGGAAGGGCAAAGTGCATCTCTTGGTTCTGCCATTCTCAGTTTCGTGCAATCCCCATGTTTGCCTGCTTTATGTTTAGGAGCACTGCAATGACTCCCAGTTGTGCAGTCCAGGCTCTGAGTCCCTGGAGATCTTGAGCCCTGCTTTAGGCCTGTCCTCGTGCAGATGGTGAATATCTGTTTGTTCTCTTCCAGAGAAGCTGACGCAAACGGAGGCTTTGGAATGGAACCGACTCACAACCAGATCAGTGACAAGAGGTAGGAATTAATTCAATGTAATCTTGGCACTTGTGAAGTTGGATAGGCAAGGAGAATCTCGGATAGGATGTAGGGCTGGTGGAATTGAGTACATGCATATGTGGCTGAGGAGGAAGAAGAGGATTTGATGTGGACTTTTCTTAATTTCTGAGATCTTCCTTCTAAATGTGTTGATGGCATGTCTTTAAATGCAGCTACATGATTTTCCAGGTACACAGCTTTCCAAATATCCATTGAAATTAGAGAGTGAGTTTCCATGGCTGTTCATAAAGTGGACAAAGTTCAGTCCTTGAAAGTGTCAACACAATGAAAAGAGAGGATTGTCTTTGATTCTCAGGGGGAGAGTGGGGTGAGAGGTCTGAAGGAGAACAAGCATGGCATTTTCTGCCATTGATTATTGCAAGTGGATTTGGCAGCTCATGTGTTCACCATCCCCAGTGACTGCTTCTCCATTTGTATCACAAGGAAATGGGGGGACAGTTTTTCCCTTCCCACCTGTCTTGGTGGCTGGGATCAGGTGCAGCAATCCCTGAGGAGGATGCCTGCTGTCCCTTGTGTGTCTCTTTGCTCTGGGACAGAGCACACGCTGAACAGAACTGATCTGTGTGCTGTCAGCATCCCGTGCATTTCAGCATTGCTTTGGTGCTGGACATGTGCCCTTGTGGGAAAGCCCCAGGTTCTGCACACAGCATAAACAGGGGTTCAAGTGTTAACTCTCCTTTCTCTGTCTCGGGCTGGAAGCTGCAACAACAACAGAGATTTGCTCCGCTTCCTGGAGCAAGAGAGGCGAAGGAGGCAGGTGGCTCCAGAGGAGAAAGATCCATTCCTGGGGAAGACTCCTCTCTTTGCCAGACCCTACAAGGTAATGGGAGTGGGCTGAAGGTTGTATGGAGAGGAGGAAGGAGGCTTGGCCTGGGAGAGGAGAGCCGTGTCTTCTGCATGGGCCGTAGCAGACTTGAGCCCAATCCCTGCAGACACAGCACATCTTTCCATCTGCTTCACTGAGCTTGCCTGACTTCCTTTGTGGGGATGCATGGTGATTCCATGAAGATACTGAGCAAGGTCTCTTGCTTGGGGTGTTTGTGACATTTGCCCCTCTGTTATTCTGTTGCAGACCTATAAAGAAGATGAGCTGTCAAGGCGCATTAAGAACCTGCTGGGCGATCAGGACTCCAAGGTGCTCCTGAGCCACGAGTCCCCTCTGAATCCCATCTGGATTCCAAACAAGCCCAAAGCCCAGTCACAAAGCCACAGTCATAGGCCGGCCTCCAGGAAGACAAACCTTTCACATGAGGACAGATGGAGGGAATGCTCAACACAATCACTGGAGCACACACCAAATCCTGAGAGGAACTATGACAGCCATGACAGTCTCTCAGATCGAGGGTCAGAGGGCAAAGCTCCACAATGCAAAATCCTGCCTGAGCCTGTCAAGGTGAGTGCAATTGTTGAGGCTCTCTGTTGTTGGCAGTCCCTCAAGGCCAAGGGACCAGCACACAGGCCCTGCCTGCCTCGTGGCTCAGCCTCCCCAGAGCTCCAAGGCACTTGGTTCCCAGGTGCATTTTGGGGTTTTGCCAGCATCATCCTTCAGCACTGGGATATTACCGTGCCCTACGGAATGTAGGTGCCCACGGTGCTGAGGCAAAGCAGCTGGGCTGGGAGAGCCACAGAGATGGTTTTCAAAATGTGTTTGACCTTTGGAAAGAGGAGGAAGAGCTGAAGGCTGCAGTCAGCTTTTCCTAGGAAAGGGTACTGACGGGATGCAAAGGATTGTAGGCAATATCTTGTGGAAAATGAGAGGATGCTGGGAGAAGTAAAGCAGTGCAGGAGCCATTCCTTAGTGCAAAGTGCCAAAAAGATCAAGCCCCATTTTGGGTCTCAAACTCTTGGAAGATTTGCAAAGTGCTGCAATCAGCCCTCAGGCCACCAGCAATGGGCAGTGTTTGTCCTTGCTGCTTGGAAGCCCAGTTCAGGAGTATCGGTGTGAAGAA